AGCCTCACACCCCCTCATCCTCAAACTGAGCATAAAGTGAGTGGGAGCCTTCTGGTAGCTTCCAGAAAGCCCCTCAACTCTCTGATTGGATCTGCCTCAGGTCACATGCCCATGAGCCAGCCAATTATTGTGGTGGGAGAGGGGCTGCAATGCATTGATTGACCAGGCCCGGAGCACAAGTCCCACCCCTAGATCTGGACCTGAAGCTCCACCCAGACCACAGTAGGAGGAGTGGGGGAGGGCTGACATGGAAACAAAAACCTAGGCTTCTGGAAAGGGAATGGAGGCCCGGAGGTCGAGAGCCCACTTCCCTCTCTGGGGCTCAGTTCTCCATTTATATGTCATCGGACAACAAGGCAGCCTGTGAAGTTCTAAGCTGGGCTGGGTCCTTGAGGTCTCAGTGGGGACAGGGAGATGCAGATGTGAACGTCTCATGCGGTTTAGGACTCATTCCAAAGGAGTCCTCTGCAAAGCCATATGGTTCAGGGGTTAGGGGTTTGGGTGTACACCCCGGTGCTTCTGTGTACTGACTCTGTGGTTTGGGTTCTTGCTACTCGGAGAGCGATCTGGACCAGCAGCATCAGCAGAGCTTAGGAGCTGGTGAGAAAGGCAGACTCGCCCACCCAGACCTGCTGACTCAGCATCCGTAGGTTAACAAGATACGCAGGTGGTTCTTCTGAATGTTCAAATTTGAGAAGGACTGGGCTAGGGCAAGTTTCGTCTTTCTTTTCCTTAGTTTCTTTACCTATCAAATACAAAACAATAGCCATTCTGCCTATCCCTTAGGTTTGTGGGTAGAATTAAATAGTTTACTCACTCAAAACACCGAGAATAGTAAATGCGCAATAAAATGTTCCTTTTTATATCCTTAGACCCGCAGGCCTCAGATACCAGAATAGCACAGAACTCTTCAAACTTTTCCATCAACGACTCCTACTAGATGAGGGGTTGGCAAAGTGTTCCTGTAAAGGACCAGATAGTAAATATTTGAGCTTGTGGGACATATGGTCTCCGTTGCAATTAGGGAGCTCCGCTGTTGCAGTGCAAAAGCAGCCATATGGGCATAGCTGTGTTCCAATAAAACTTTATTTACAAAACAGGTCTGGTTCGCAGGCTCTAGTTTGCAGTAGAATAATGATCTGGGTCTAGCACGCAGCAGTCACCGTAACAGCAAGGTGTCTCCGAAGTCTCATTCTGCGTCTGGAAAGCTCCATCTGAATTTTGTAGCTTACTTCACAGCATAGCTGGGTTTATTTTAATGCAAATTTTTCTCTTCCCACCGAATTTTCATAGAAAAGCGAATGTTTTGGGAAGATGCTCCGTGTGTATTCTTTGCCTTTTCATGCCTCCCTGGCCCACAACCATGAGAAATTTTGCAGTCACGTGCCCCAACCTGATAAGAGTGGGCTTCAGGGAACTGGCCCCCAAAGCCTGCTGGGAACAAGGCTGTCTCCCAAGGAACAAAGGGAGAGGGAAGGTTTGCTAATAGGAGCCCAGGGTGTGAGGTCAGTAGAATGACTCCTCCTATCACAAGCTGCTGCTATTTCACTGGCTCCCAACAGGGAGGGAGGGCAGGTGCCCATTTTATAGATGAGAACACTGAGGCTCTGAGAGGTGAAGTGGCTCAGCCACCATCACTGCCCGTCAGTGGCAGAGTCCAGAGCTCCAGCCCAGTGAGCGCCCTCACATAGTTAATGCTGTTAATTTGTACCTGAGAAAATGTGGGTGTGGGAGATTGCCCCCGATTCTTTACCTCTGCCTGTAGCCATGCCTTTTGCCCTGTAACTTTGCAGTGTCCTCCCAGGAGGAGGATGACAGACATGTGGAGCTGAGCTGCCCCAGCCAGACCCAGACTTGATCAGCCAATCTCCAGGTGACAGAGGAGTGATTCCAGCTAAAATCAGCAGGGCCACCTAACTGACTCCCAACTGACCCCAGATGTGTGAGTAATGAATGCTTGTCATTGGCTGCCACTGAGGGTTTGCGGTTGGTGGTTATGCAGCATTAATTATGCCAGCAGTAGCTGGTACAGTGGATGCAAGCGTGAACATCTGTGAGCAGTAATGCTCCTCTCAGGTTTGTCTCTCTGGGCTCATTGCCAGCCTCACTCAGGCTTGTCCACACCCACAGCCTACACTTGCACCTCTGGCAGGGCCACAAGAGACCTTCAGTGTATGAGGGCATCCTTACGGATTTGGGGATTAATCGCGGAATAACATCGTTTTTAGCCCTACAGACTCTGCAGTCAGACTACCTGGGTTTAAGTCCTTGTGTCCTATTAGTAGCTGTGTGACCTTGGAAGAGTTTTTAAACCTCTCTCAGCCTCAGTTTCCTCATCAGTAAAAAAAGGATAGCAATCGGCTATTGTGATGATCAAATGAGATTGTGTACGTGAAGCCCTTGGATTGCCTGGCCCGCACATTACCTAGTGCTCAACACACGGTAGCCACAGCGACCGCATCAGACACACAATGGCACTCTAGCGGGTCACCGGGAGGTGGGCTCTCATGTCCCCAGGCCAGGGACTCCCCTGCCAAGGCAGAAGGTGGAGGTGGGAGGGTGGATGCCTGAGTGCCCCCTTTCCCTCTCTTCCAACCACTGGTTTGTGACCTCCTGGACAAAGTCCACAAATGCTTGCTGTCACCCCAGCCAGACCCCAGGGGGTCCTTCCTGACTCCGCTCCTCACTCCTACACACCCACAGCATGCTCTAGATTTTGCCAGAAGGGAGGAGGGATGGTGTAGTTATTTTTCATGGCTGCTTTAACAACTTACCATAAATGCAGTGGCTTAAAACACAGAAATGTATATCCTCTTACAGCTCTGGAGGTCAGAAGTCCACAATCAGTCTCTCTGGGCTACAGCAGGGCTGCTTCCCTCTGCAGGCTCTCGGGGAGAACCCCTTCCCTCGCGTTTTCCAGCTTCTGGAGGCTGCCTGCATTCCTTGGCTCGAGGCCCCTTCCTCCATCTTCAAAGCCAGCAGTGTAACATCTTTGAATCTCACAATCTCACGCTCTGACGCTCTGACGCTCTGACGCTCTGACGCCCTGACGCCCTGACGCCCCGACGCCCCGTTTCCACCCTTCTGATTCCAATCCTCCAATTTCCCTTTTATAAAGACCCTTGTGATTACATTGGGCCCACCTGGGTAATCTTCCCACCCCACAACCCTTAAATTAATCACACCTGCAAACTCTCTCTTGCCAGGTAAAGCCACACGTTCACCTGTTGCGGGGACGAGGACATGGACACCTTTGGAGGGCCATTGTTCTGTCTACTTCAGAGAGGCTTTGACTCTTGGACACAACAGTGGATCTTGGCCTCGAATCTGAGAATTCTTGTTGAATAAACAGATCCGTGCCGTATGTTTCACCACGTATCAGCTAATAAAAGTAGTTTTGAGAATTCAATCACGTCCCTGAAAGTTTATATAATTTGGGACTTGGGGGGTTGCTGGTGGCTGCTGGTCAACACTACACGCATGCCTCTTAAATACGTACTGAATTGCTGCTGAACTCCTGAGCCCTGTCTCTCCTTTTCCTTGCTGCCGTGGTCGGGGCCACATTCATTTTGGCCTGGACCATTGCAGCTGGCCTTCCTGCCTCCATGCTTGCCGGCCCTAAATCACCCTCCGTACAGCTGGCAGACAAACGCTTCAGTGCGCACGTCTGACCACAGCGGTCGCTTCTCTATCTAAAACCCTTTAATGGCTCCCCATTGCCCTCTGAATAAAGTGGCAACACCCTCTACCGTGGCTATAAGGCCTCACGTGAAAGCCCTTTGCTTGCGCCCCAGCCACATCTGTTGCCCCTCCCTGCTGGGGTGCCCAACCACCCCAGTTTGCCTGGGACCATCCCGGTTTTAGTGCTGAAAGTCTCATGTCCTGGGAAGAACTATTCAGTACCAGGAGCATTAGTCACCCTACCCCTGCCCCGTGCCTCATGCTCTAGCAACACCAGCTGCTCGGAGATGTTCTTGTTGAATAAGTATAGTCTTTCCTGAGGATGGCCTCTGCCTAGTAAGCTGTGGGGACTTACTGATGGTCCCCACCTCCAGGAGCCAAAGTCTGACGGAGAAACAGGACAACGCATGGACCAACCAGAGGCAGCTGTAGCTGAGGAGGCGTTCAGAGGCCAGGGTGGGGGCGCCTCCCTCTGTAGATCAGCACCGTGGCCAGGGGTCCCTCACTGGACCCTGGATCAGTCTCTTTTTTGGCCCCACTCACCCTCCAGCCAGCCTCAGAAGGGTTCTCCCTTCCCTGAGCTTTTGTGGCTCACGCGTTACTGGCCACCCATTCCTGCGCCCTGGCCCAGATCTTTCCTTTCTCTCGTCCTCAGTTTCCCTGCCTGTCTAATACAGTGAAAGCTTTTGCAGCTCTGACCTGCTGGGACTAGGTGTGGAAACCACTGCTTTCCTCAAACCTGTATCCCCTGAAGGTGGGCTGTGGTCTCCTCCTGTACCCTCACTGTGCCCAGCACAGGGCTGGCATGGGGTCAGGGCTCATTAAACACTTCTCAACTCAGAGAGTCCAGGCCAACAGCAGCCATGGGGTCTGCTCTGGGGTTGAGGGACCTGCTGTGGTTGTCTTTGAGCAGCAGGCATCCTCCTGTGGCCGGCCTCTCTGGGCCAGGGAGGCTATCCTTGGGGAGACCCCCATCCTCCACCTTCACCTGGGGGGCCTGAGGACCCACCAGGCTCCTCTGTGGAGGCCGGATCAGGGAAATGGTGATTGGATCAGGGCCACAGTGGCTCACAGCTGTGAGATGTTGGGGGCCAAGTGAGTGTGTCCTTAACTCACACCCCCTCAGGCACCAGGTGGCTTCCTGGGATCCCCCTCCACTGGTGCCCCCAGCAGCAAACTCCAAGGCCTAGCCAGCCTGGCTGGGGTGTGTATGTGTCTCTCTTTTGCATCCCTGGTGTGGAAAGGGGCAGGCCCTAGAGAGCCCGTGAACGGCTGGGGAGACGCAAATCAAGAGTGCAGGCGGCTTGAGGGGGAAGGAAGTTTATTGTGGTAGTGGGGGTTTGCGGCCTCGGGTCCCAAGGATGACTCACAGCTGCATTTTCTGGAAGAGCAAAGAACAGGGTGAGGGGCTCCGGGATGTGTGTGTGTGTGTGTGTGTGTCTGTGTGCATGTATGTGTGTGTGTGTCCCCTTCTGGCATGGCAAGGCTCTACCCAGAGAGCAGGAACAAGGCGGCACGGCAGGCAGCCCTGGGCTTTCAGGAGTCGGCCTTGCCTCTGCCCAAGGGCTATACACCCCTAAGCATTTCAGACCACTCTGCAAATGGGGCTCAGAACACATCTGTCCCTGGTGTGAAAGCCCCCAGCCTGAGGGACCCTCTGCCCCCCTCCCAAGATACATATGGCCAGCCATGCCACCCCCCTCTCCTCTGCTGGGCCCTGCTCTCCTCGGGCCACCTTTCACTTTTGGGGGGACTGGTGTGGTGCTAGGGATCGGGACAGAAGTGTTGGCTGAAGCCAATGGACAAACGGGTGGAGATGTTAATGTCGGTTTCCTTCACTGCACCCGACTCGAGGTCTGCACACAGTAAACACTCAGTACTTGACTGAGTGAGTGAATGAATGGATAAGTACAGGAATGGATGGGTGACTAAATGAGTGACTGAATGAGTGAGTGAAGGAGTGAGTGGGGAGTGAGTGAGGGCGAGGGGCTGGCGGGTGCAGGAGGGAGGGTTCGGAGGCTGGTGCCCACCTCGTTGATCCAGTCGATGTAGGCAGACACGCGAGTGTAGACTGCGGGCTTCTTGCGGGTGTTGCAGCCGAGTCCAGAGCCGAAGCTGACGATGCCCCTCACCTCCCAGGAGCCGTTCTCAGCCTGGCAGTTCAGCGGGCCACCGGAGTCCCCCTGCATCAGAATGGGAGGGTATCAGCCCCCAGGCCTTCCCCTGAGGCAGTCTCGGGAAGCACAGGGGTGTCAGGGTGGCTCTCAGCCTTGGTACCTCCTGTTTTGGCATCAGCCTTTCATGGTGAGGGAGGCAGAGAAGACGTAGTTTGGGGCTGCCTTGCCCTCATTCTGGGAGGCTCTGGTGTGTCGGACTAGCTCTTGGATTGCTGTGTGATCTTGGGATCATGATCACCCTCTCTGTGCCTTGGTTTCCCTAGCTGTTCAAGTCACCGTGTCTAAGACTCTGGGAGCTGCCCAGATAGGTGAGAATGCTGGGAGCCATGTTGGAGAACTGGGAAAGTGAGGCAGGTGGGAGCGGGGAGAGGGGTCATGTGTTTGAAAACAGGACAGTCCCTGATTGTCCTAGACGTTTCTTGGTTCTGTGTGGGACTCCCTATGTCTTCTGTCTCTCTGAACTAATGGAGCTGACGGCATGAAGGGACATGTGTAGAGAGTTTAATAAAGCCTTTTCTACACTTGTCAAACTCATTTATTCCTCACAGCAACCCTGCAAAGTGCTTACTATATCTCCATATTATAGATGGGAAAACTGAGGTTCAGAGAGGTTAAACAGCCTGCCTTAGGTCACACAGCTACTAAGTGGAGGGACTGGGACTCAAACTCAGATACTCATGCCCAAATCCCATGTTCTCACCACAGTGCTGGGGGGCAGGGGGAGCGAAGGAAGTGAGGGAGACAAGTTCCCCCTTAGCCTCCTGGACCCAACCAGGGCTCAGCCTCCTCTCTAGGAAAGGGTACACTCATGTGGATCTCCCTACTCCCCACCCTCCTTTGTCTTCCTCACTGTTCCCTTCTACTTGGCCTCCTGGAGTAGGGACGGGGTGCAGGGCCTGGACACTCACGTTGCAGGCTGAGATGACGCCATCACCCCCGGCACACACCATGGTGTCCTTCACCATGGCTCCCCACCAGTCTTTCTGGGTGCAGGTGGCATGATCCACGATGGGCTGCAGACCCTGTTGCAGCTCGTCAGCAATGGGACCGTTGGCTGGGGAGAGAACAGGTAGTGACCGGGCAAATCAGCCCAGGCAGCCCAGGCCTTCAGGGAACAGAGGGCTGGATGGGGCTGGGACAGGCCCCCGGTGAGTTCTAGCTAGACTTTGTGGGAACTGCACACATGTTTTTAATGGAGAGACAAGCTCCGAGCCAATGATCCCACACTGTTTGGGTCAGAGACCCCTCTGAGGGTGGGGAAGGGAGAGCAGAACTAATCATAGAAAGCCCTTTGAGGTGATTGCTCTTTAATTTGGATTCTGGGGTTTTAATTGTCATTTGTTCCCTTGTAGGTCTCTGCCTTTGGTGTCACACAGTAAAAGGTCTTTCTCACCCCAAGATTTCCCAGTATTAACCTGCATTTTCCTCTGAAGTTTTGTTTATTTGCTTTTAACCTTTTAATTAGGCTGGAATTTATCTGGGCATATGATATAGCATAAGATCTAATCCCCATCCCTAACGGTTTGTTTAGTTTATTTGATAGTCGCTTATATGGCATTTAGTATGTGCCAAGCCCTGTTTTAAGCACTTGGCGAATTCTAATCCATTTAATCCTTACAGCGCCCTTTCTATGCACATGTTAGAGTGTCTGTTACGTGGTATGTGCTTAATAAATATTAGCCATTATTATTACAAAGTTAAAAAGACCTGAAGACGTATAGGCAGAAAGGAAAAGTGATTGGCAAATGTGGGGGGTGTGTTTATTGTGGGAGCTGCTTCCTTCAGAAAGCGCTTGGATTTGCCAGGGGTGGTACTCACTCCAGAGGCGGCCCCAGCCGGTGACGTAGCAGGGGTAGTCCTGAGACAGCAAGGATCCTTCTGCGGGCAGGCATGCCACCTGGATGGTGTCACTCAACTCCACAGACTTGGCCAGCTTGATGAGGGCGATGTCATTGCTGGAATTCGAAGCGGAGGTTTGAATGGAGAGGAGGTCTTGACCCCCACAGCCAATGCTAAGACATCTGGGCTGTGAGTCGAGAGTCAGGCCAAGGGTGATATTTAGGGTCCTTCCTAAATATCCTGACTGCCAGCTTCTTACTGGCTGACAGAGGTGTCAGCGGACAGATGGTCTACCTTCTAACACCATCGCCCGCCCCTTTTTAGATGTACGTAGCTTCTTCTCCCATTTGTGTCTTCACATCATGAAAGGCTTAACAGAGGGGAGACTTGAGCAGAAGCATTTTGAACCACTGCAGGTTACATATCAACTAGAAATGAAGCTAAAGTAAATAGAAAATTCCAATGATAAAGGAGAGGCATCTGTGGATGCAATTTTTAATGTTTTCATGTCACCAGGATGAAAGCTGGTAGCCCTAGATAGACCTAGTGTGATTCCTAGTTCTGACACACACTGGGCTGTGTGACCTGGGGCATATTACTTAACGTCTCTGAGTCTCAGTTCCTTGTCTTGGGCCGGTGTGAGGATTAAATCAGAGAGGCCATATAAAATGCTTATTGCAATGTGGGCATGACTTCAGCAAGACACTGTGGGAGAACCTCGGGGTCTTTCTTCCCTGGGTACCTTCCAGAGACTCTTGGCCAATGATGGAGAGGGAAGGGGTGTCTGTCTCCGCTTAGCATTTTGCTGCTTTGTGTAAAGGGGTCATGTGCTGGCTGTTCAGGCTAAGGATGGGGTCCAGAGACACGGTGGGGGCAGGCTCTGCAGCTCCATCTCAGGGACCCCTCCTTCTTCTGTGCCGCCCCCAGGGGGCTGTGAGATGGTCAGCAGGGCACTCACCGCACCAGGAAGGAGTTCCACTTCTCGTGGACATAGATGGTGTCCACGCCCACGAACACGGAGCCTTCCTCATCGTCCACTACCAGGTTGTTCTTCCCCAGGCCCACTCGGTAGGTCCGGGCATTGCTGAACAGAAGAAGGGGACTTGGGTCAGGGTGGCTTCCGGCCTCCACTAGCCAGTGGGGTAGAGAGGGAACTGGGCGCTTCAGTGGCCCAGCTCTGTGGCCACTGTGGGACTCATTTTGGGGAAAGGAACATCCATCCCCACTGACTCTTCCCAGGGCGCAGGGTCAGGGCCCTAGTCTTGGAGTCAAGTCCACTTGGACTCCGAGGTGGGTAGCCTCAGGCCTCAGTTCCTTCGGCTGTCAGGTGGAGATAATGCTGGACCTCACCTTGCAGGATTGCTGTGAGAACGAACCAGTCCAAGTCACCAGGGCTTTTGTTGCATCGTCTTGCCTGCACCCCTCTCTAACTGGCCTCCTCGTCTCCCCTCACACTCTGCTCCTGCCATACCGGCTTCCTCATTGCTTCTCACACAGACCACGGAGCCTCCCTCCTCCAGGCTTTTGCACTGGCTGTTCCCTCCACCTGGAGCACCCTTCCCTCCGCCGACTGATGATTTCTTCCCTTCCTTCCTTCAGGTCTTTGCTCAGATACCCCCTTTTCAGAGGCACCTTCCCCGGCCACCTCATTTAAAAGAGAACCCCTTATCCTTTTCATGCTCATCCGGGCTTCGTCTTCATTGCCGTTTGATATGTTATATATGTACTTGTTTAATGGTCTGTTGCTTTGTCTTCCACTGGACTAGAAGCTCGCTGAGAGCACAGACTGTGTCCTCACTGCTGTGTTCCCTGACACACAGTAGGCGCACAATAAATACTGTCGAATGGAGAAGTGAAAACTGAGTTCCTGGATCTAAGTAGCTTATTTAGTCCAATGCCTGCGTGTGTAGTAGGTGCTCAGTAAGAGCAGCCCAGCAGGTTCCCGCCCCAGGTGTCGTCCCCGCTCACCTGATGCAGTGGGCAGCCGTGAGGACGAAGTTGCTGGCGATCAAGGTGCCACCGCAAGTGTGCCTCCACGTGTCATCCTTGAGGTACTGGAGGGAGATCTGGAGGCGGGGTGGAAAGGCCACGTGTCAGCCCCCAGGGACCCTTCCCCCACCACCCTCCCCACCCACCTCCCACACCTGCGGCAGCTCTTACCTGCCAGGGCCAGCTGTGGGGCCTGGCACTGTCTCCTCCCACCACCCGGGATGATAGGTTGGGTGCGAAGGTGGGGACCCCGCAACTGGAGGCTGGGGAAGACAGGAGAGAAAGAGCACAGGTGAGTGGGGCTGGCATCCCCCTTGGGGGAGAGGCAGGGGAAAGAGCACCAACTTGGGGGCTGGGCAGACTCGGGTTCAGATTTCACTGTATGACTTCGGGGACGCTATCTAGTCGCTGGGCCTCAGCTTCCTTTTCTGTGAAACCTGGTGAGCTGGTCCTGGGAACTAAATTAGACAATGCCTATAAAGAGTGAAGAGAAAGGCCTGGTACAGAGGGAATGGTTCGTGTGCTGGAGGAGACAGAAGGTGGCTGGCATGTTGGGAGTGCCCGGGTATACCTGTGTCCCTCATGCTTATCCTGCTGTCCCTTTTTAGGCCACAGCATAATGGGGGTACGTGAGCACTGACTCCGCCGAGTTGTAGATTGTTATAGCTGGGAGCTGCGTGAAGCAGTCAGGCGCAGTTGCTCCAGTGAGACAAACCCAGACTCAAATGCTGGCTCTCCCGCTAACCAGCCATGTGATCTTGGGCAAGATACAGAGCCTCCCTGGGTTTCAGTGTCCTTCTCTGTAAAGTGGAGGTATTAATAGACCCTGCTTCTCGGGATCAAATAAGCTCCTGCATGTAAAGGGATTCGCACAGTGCCGGGCACATAGTAGACACTCAATAAACAGGAGCTGCTATTATTATTACTGCTGTCGTTGTTGTTAGCTAGAAGGACTCTTAATCAAGTGCCCTCGTTTGCCAAAGGAGCCAGTGAGATAGAGTGGTGCAGTGGCTTGTCCAGGTCCTGCCCAGAGTGAGTGACGTTCAAGCCAGATTCCTTGATTCCTAATCTGGGAGAGAGTCACCAACATGGGGGAGTAATGGGGCCCCAGATGACAGATGCCAACACTGAGAAAAGTAGGCCCTGATAGTCCTTGGAGTGACCCAGGATGAGGCATCTAGGGTGTCTCCGGCCCACGCTCGGTGCTGTCCACACCTCCTCTCTAACCCTCAACCTGGGAGGTCAGATCATCAGCTCTATTTTGCAGGTATGGAAGCAGAGCTGCCAAGCGGACAGGGATCAGCAGTATCCGAACCCCTATTGGACCCCTAAGCTCCTTTCCTGGAGCCCTAGAGAGCGCAGGGCCCCCTGCTTCTGTCCGGGAAAGCCAGCCTGAGCTTACAGCCACTGGCTATGGCTGGTCCCCGACCCAAAGCTTACCGCAGGCCAGGAACGCGGCGAGAACGGTGAGGCCCAGCATGATGTGTGTGGTCAGGACTGAGTGGCCGTCGAGGTGGGCAGGGGCACACTTATAGGCAGGAGCGAGGGTGGGCCCACCGGTCAAGGCTGAACTACCCCTTGGAGAGAAATCTGTTCTGATAAGGCCCTTTCCCTGACCTTGGGTGGTTACTGTTTAATTTGGGCAGGAGGTAGGGTTGGCTCGAGGCATGGATTTCCCAGATATCCTGAGACAGGGCAGATTCTGAGGCATGCAGGTTTTGGGGGCCCCCATCACTCTCCATGGAGTGTGTTCTCCTCTCTCCATAACTCATTCCTTTTAGTTATTTTTTTTATTGGGCACCTATTAGGTGCCAGGCATTGTGCTCAATGCTCCTTGCGTTCACTTACTTCTCCCAGTAACATGAAGTAGACACTCTTATCCGCTCATTAAAGATGAGGCAGCTGAGACTCAGGGGTCGGCGACTGTCCACAGTCATACAGCTGGGCAACAGCTGGACCAGGATTTGAAGACAGCACTGCTAATGCCAGTCTGGGGCTTCACACTACGGCGAATCTCTGATTCCTTCTGTCTTTATATCTTCATCTCTTTCTTTCCTCTCTTTTTTCTTTCTCCCTCAGTAAACTAACAGTGTCTGGGCTTGGGGCACCCCTGCTGTCCAGTACCTCCTCCCCGGGCTGAAGATGGAGGCTGAGCCATGAGCAGCCCCTGGAAGGTGCCTGGTTGGCCAAGTTCCTACCTGGAGCCAGCTTACTTGTCTCCTTGCCAGGTCCCTCAGTCTCTCTGTCTCTAAAATGGGCAAATAGGACCATATGTACTCTTAGGCCCCTTTCAACCTTAAGGATCTATGACTTGACCGTCAAGGTTGAGTGGCAGATCTGGGTTCATGGCGCTTGGTCTGGTCCAATGCACTGTGTGCCCAGAAGTTCTATCCAGAGCCCTGGCAGTTTGGGATCAGTCTGTCCCTTGGAGCGTCTGGTGTAATCCATTTGCCCCAAGGCCTGACCTCAGCCTGGTCGGTTCAATTCTGTTCTTCCTCCCCTTTCTACTCATCCACGTGCTCCTTGGAAGTTGCTTTCTGAGCTGGGCCCACTGGTGACCTTAGGAATTATTTCCAATAAAGAAACTCAGAAGGCTATGCACCCTGCTCTTAATTGCGGTTATCTGGGGGGTGGAGGAGGATTTTAACTTCTATATTTTATACAGTTTAAATTCTTTTTAAAAACAAGGATGCGTTTCTTTAGAAATATAAAAATCAATAAAGTTTTGATTAAAAACAACAATAACAACAGAGAGACAAGGAGTGTGAGGGTGTGTGCAGGGGTCTGGCCTTCTGTGATGACTTCAGGCCTCAGACCTGAGGTGTCTGGGGGCTCTCAGTCTGTGGGAACTTTCTGTTGTCTTCTAGAGGCTGGTTCTGACAGAGGGGTCAGTGGCTACACCTCAGACCCAGAGTTATTAGTCGCCAAACTCTGCAAAGGGTCACCCTGGCCTGGGGACTGACGTCGTAAACGGAGCTATGGACTGAGCAAGGTAACAGGTAAGACTCCTGGTCTCTGTCCGTCAGTGACTTGCTGGATGTCCCCAGGCCTTGGGCAACTTCTTTGGGCCTCAGTTTCTCTTGAACAACTTGGGGAAATGAATAACTGGGTTTCTATTGGGTTGTCGGAAAAGTCATGACGTATTTTTTCTGTTTTCTGTTGCAAAAATGCGTCATGACTTTTCCGACAACCCAATATATCTGGGAGTTTGCTGATTTACACTCAGAGAGATACAGCAACTTCTCGGCACCCATCTCAGTCACGTGTACCTGCCCATACGTACACACACATGCAGGGACAGGTAGACAGACAGACACCCATGCCTACACATTCACAGACATGCATACAGCAGTGCCACACAGAGAGCATCCAGTTCTACACGGCATATGAAGAGCCATGTGCCACACATTCTAACATGTACCCCAATATAGAAATAGCCACAACTTCACAGGCACATAGGTAGTGAGGTACCAGACAGAGACATTCATTGTTTTTTTTCTTTTTGGAATGTTTACCAAGAAATTGACCTTTTTGCTCTTTGGAGGGAGGTTGCTGGCTTCCCTGGAAGGTGCAGACAGCATCAGCTTTAGGGGAACTTCCTTGTTTGGAGACATTTAGCAGGTGTGGCCCTTTAGGTAAGGCAGTACCAACAGTTGTACCTGGAGAAAACTGAGGCCGCCTTACTCAGCTTCAGATGCTGAAGATGGGATGCCGCGTGCTTTGCCCAGCACTGGACCACACACCTGAGGGAGGGGAAACCCAGAGCCATTGATATCCGTGTGACCTTGTGCTAGTGACTTAACCTCTCTTGTGCTTCCACACCCTCATCTATAAAACAGGGGTAAAAAACACGGTACCTGCCTCCTAGGGCTGTTGTGAGGAGAGCCTGGCAAGCACCACAGAAATGCTGGCTGTTATTATTACGGCGGTTGCCCTCTGGCTCTTACGAGAAAGCTTGAGCCTGGACTGTCCCTGGGCCCTTTTGCCTTTGTGGACCCCTTCCTCCATCCAAAAATATGAAAAATTATGTTTTATGACTGCATGGGTATAAAGGCTAATATAATCCAGTTTGGATTATATTCATATTTTTCTCCTGCTGATTTCAGAAGAATCCAAAACATTTTTGTAGGCCCTAAAGGTATTGCGGGCTCCACCGTGCTGATGGACGATTCCCCCTTGGCCGAGGGCCCTCCCCATGTCAGGGTATATACAGCTGAGAGAGACTTTGGGGAATGTTCTGTGGCTCACGTGGGCCCTGGCGGTGCCTTTAAGCTGTACCTTGGGGCAGTGGGGGAGAAAACTGGGTTCTCGCTGGAAGCAACTGGGCAGAGGTGGAGCTGCCTCTGGGCGTGTGTCAGCCGCCCCTACCTTAGCCCCGGTGCCGGGTGCAGTGGGTCAGAGGACACCATTACTGCAGTGGCTCAAACTGCCTAAGTTATGGCGGCGACATTTGGTTGGCTGACCTGATTTTCTGGCCATGGTGACCAAGAGTGAAGAAGCAGCCCCCGCAGACAGGGCTTGGGCATATCTGCAGAGGAGGGCCCTGCGCCAGTGGATTTCCTGCGACAGGAGGGGTGGGGGCGTGGAGTTGGATTAACTGAAGTAAAGATGTGACTCTTTTGCTTGCCCAGACTGTGAGGCGCTGATATACCATGTACTCAGAGGCCATGCATTTATCCCTCCCACATCTGCTGAGCACCTCCTCTGTGTAGGCCCCGTGTTAGGGCTGGCACTACAGAGATGTTAAGACCCCATCTATCGCCGCTTTCGCCCCCTGCCAGGCAGGGTGGTAAGTGTTCCTCGGAGTGTCCCTGATTAAGAGGCGAGTTCTGGGTAGGAGCTTGATGGGGTGAGGCTTGGGAAAAGATTCCTTCATTACAGATTCCATGTCCAAAACGAACTTGAGGTCTTGAGAGTGTAAGGATGCTAGAATCCCACCCCCATCCTGCTGAACCTTGTGTAGTTTTCCAGGGCTGGAGTTGGGCCTCCCAGGAGTCACTCAAGCTCAGACTGTGCTGGGAAGATGACCATGGGTGACTTGTTGTAGGCTGGGCCCAGGGGAGGCAAAATCTCAGGAGAAGCAATGCCAAGGCTGGGCGTGGTGGTGATGGTGCGAGGAGGCGGGACAGTGAGAGCCTGAGAAACGGGGCAGGTGTCACTGATGGGGGCCTATATCTTTTGGCTGCTGAGACAAGACTCTCAGGTGGCAGCTGTTACATCTCAGGTGAGGCTCACTAAGGGGGCTGGCCTGGGGGCTGGCAGGGTTTCTCCTCCAAACCAGATGGAAGTACTGGGAGTTCAGAGAGGCTTTGGGGGTTGAGTGAAGGGTTTGGGTTTGGTGATGGGGGCCAGGACTCAGCGTTGAGGGGATTCTCATTGAAAGGCTGGGACCTGGGGAAGATTAAAAAAAATTTTTTTTATTGGGGAATTGGGGGGATGGGAACAGCGCTGGGGAATTGGGGGAGGGGAACAGACAAGTTGCTGTCGTTTTT